GGGGGGGGGGGGGGGGGGGGAGAGAAGGGTGAGAGAGAGGGAAACTTTATTGTTTATAGTCACTTCATTGTTGCTTGACTAAAGAAAAAAAGAAACACACTGAACTACTGCATTCCAGTAAGCAGCTTTGTGTAGGTAGGACTCAATGAGCTAGGAAACTGTTTTATAGATCTCATTGAGATCTAACAAACCAGCCAAGCAGACAAGTAATTAAATTGGCTCAGCAACACTGAAGTTCTGGATGATCTATTTTTAAACTCTAGCACAGTAGGGTTGTGTGTTCAGTTTCATTTGTCCATCTGTGACTAGGAATTCAGGGAAGCACACAGGCAGAACTTCACTGTGTTCCAATATTGAAGGAACTGCAAAACATGTTAGCTTAATGTACACTTGCAATGATGCCTGGGAAATCCAGGACATACTAAATCAGGGGTGTGCAATTATTTCAGCTGGAGGGCCACTCAGTGAGTTTTGGTGACCTGTCAAGGGCCACTTCCATCTCTCTTGCTCTCTCTCTCCTTTTCTCTCTCCCCCTCCAGAACCTGGTCAGAGCTGTAGCTCAACAGGAGCCCTGATGCTCAGCTGTGGACCCAGATTTGGACTTCCGCCACAGCGGGCAGGTGGTGACATCAGCTGTGGACACCGTTAGCAGGTTCCAGAGCCCTGATGCAGAACTTGCCAGTGGTGTGCGCAATGAACATCACCACCCACTCGGTGCAGCAGAACCTCCTGCCTGGGTCCACAGCTGATGCTGCTGACAGGTTCCATAGACTTCATAGACATTAGGTCTGGAAGGGACCTCATGAGATCATCTAGTCTAGCCCCCCTGCCATAAGCAGGAAGTCTGCTAGGGTCAAATGATCCCAGCAAGATAAACACCTAAACGCCTTTTGAATGAGTCCAGAGTAGGTGCCTGCACCACCTCTGGGGGGAGTCTATTCCAGACCCTGGATACTTGGACTGTAAAGAAGTTTTTCCTGATGTCCAGTTTAAACTAGCCTTCCAGGAGTTTGGGGCTGTTAGACCTTGTTATCTCTTGGGGAGCCGTGGTTATCCCAGGTCCTGATGGTCTTCCAGGTTGGGACTCTAGGCGGGAGCCTTCGCTGTGCCAGGAGAGTGGTAGCATCAGCTGTGGACACTGCCGAAAGTTTGTGTGTAGGGGCTCCTGAACCTGCTGGCAGCATCCACAGCTGCTCCTGCTGCCCACCCACTGTGGCAGAAGCCACCATCCACGTCCACGGCTGATGCCGTGCATCAAGAGCTGATGCTGCTGGGTGGAAACATCTCTGCTCACCAACCTGTCCACCCAGTACCATGGGGCAGCTGGAACCACTGGCTACCAGTGGGCCAGATCCAGTGAGTTGGCAGCTGATCACCTGCAGGCTGGACTGAATTTTTTGGCAAGCTGTATCTGGCCCACAGGCTGTACTTTGCCTACCTCTGTTCTAAATGCTACATGGAGAAGGTGGCTCTGCTTGCTTGGAAACTGAATTCAGGGCTGGCAGAAGAGAACTATGGACTTCTCTTCCTATTAACTGACAGCATTACTTTGCCCCCTTACAAACATTTGCAAAACCCTTGTAAAGACAGCAAATATTATTTTCATTTTACTAATAGGGAGCCCGAAGTTCAGAGACTGGAATTAACTTGCCCAAGGTTAAATTATCAGTGTAAGAGGCTGTACTGGAACTTGTACACCTCCTGGCTCCTGGGTTAATCTACCAGGTTAAAGCACTTCCTATGTAAGGAATTTCCCTTCTGTTCCATTTTCCATTGGGAACTGGGGACACTAACCTGCCCACATCACTGCAATGTCATGCTCAGGGCCCTCTTGCTCAGTGAACAGCTTGCACTGTCTTTAAGAGCTGTCTCATTTGTTGGCTTGGTGAGGTACACTGGAAGTCAATTCATTTCACAAGTATGCTCCAATCACTACATCACCACTGCAGTGTCCACACTCAGCCAAGGAGTGCATGTGGTGGGAGGAAAGTTTTGAAGGGAGATGCATGGATGGGAGGGGGAATAAGACATGCAGCAGTCTCTAGCAAAGAGTGCAGGGGCAGTCTCCTAAAGTCACCTAACTGCATGTGAACTGTTGTGCTCTCTCCTTCCAGTTAACAGACTCAGCATGGTGCAGGGGTGCTGTAATAGCTAGAAGGAACTGGCTTGCTGGTAGACAGTGTGCTGAAGAGAGATCCAAAAGTCAGGACTCCTGGGATTGCACACCTTGTAGAGATGCACAGATTCTTCTGTGGGAGGTCCCTTTCACCCCTGATGTCTATGAATCTATGAAACCTGGGGCTTAGTTGCATCGTTTCTCTCTACCTCTGCTTCTTCACCTCCAATACATAGATAATGCTTACGTAACACTATTGGCAGTTGGGAGGTTTAGATAGTGCTCAGAATACATACAAAAATAAGAATTACAGATTGCTACAGGAAGTTGGAATGCTTGGGATCTCACAAAAGCTTGTAAAGTTACTTTGTACTTGCAAACTCTTCCTCCTTGTGCTACAAATCAAGATGACAGAAGTACCTCCACACACCCCAACCTGAGCTGGCAGGAGCAAGTGCCTTCCATGGAGGCTACGCAAAATGTTCAGTTTTTGTGTTAAAATCTCCCTGCTCCTTCCCCTGCAATGTTTCCTCACCAGAGAATAATTCCAATGGTGTTGGCATCCAAATCTAGATCTTCAGCTTGGGAGTTTGGTATCAGTATGAAATTTGGCAAAACAAGCTGCTCAGACTCTTTCTTACAAGGCTAATGTTGCCTGGGTGCAACAGCAACAACACTCAGAAGTAGTGACGGGAGAAGTCTGGGGTGAGCATACACACAACAGTTTGCCAGAGACCTTTTTTCCATGCTGTAAAAGGTGCCACCACTCATGTATAAACTGTACATTATATAATGTGCCAGTCCAGTTAAGTTTTAAGTCATAACATTTGATCTCATTCACATTCTACCCCCAGGGCCAGCAGTACTTCCAAATTGATAGAACAACCCATATAAGTCTAGAATAATTAGCACATTTCAGGTCAGATGATGAAGTTATTGAATGAGCAGTGGTGAATGGTGAGCCCTGCAGAGGAAAACCTATGATACAGTGCTCAGGTGGTTCAGGTTTTTTGCACTTCCACGCCAGATCTCCCATGAGTCTTAAACAAAGATTAAAAACAGTCTGGACTGCTCCAATTCAAAGGACCTAAACATCAGGAAGTTAATGCAGCTCTGAGTTAATGGAACACATGAAGGTAAGTCTGATTTACTGCAACTTCTCCACCTCAGGGCTCTTAATGAACAAACAATAAATGTCAATAGATGAGTTATGTCAGGAATCCAGGAGTGATTTATGTGCCAAGTTTCTGAAATAAATGCTCATGGTTCTTACGGTGAGGCAGCACATCACAAGAGGCACCCACATTCAGGACCAGATTTGAGGGGCTGGTTTTACCTGTTGCCTGTCAGGGCAAATCCTATACTAGTCTGCTAGGGACCATTTTTCCATACTGTAAACAGTGCCACCACACATATATAAACTGCACATTATATAATTTGTCAGTCCAGTTCACTTTTAAGTCAAAGTTTGATCTCATTCACATTCCATCTCCACAGCCAACAGTACTTCCAAAATGGAAATGTGCCCTCAAGTACTTCCAAATCCCAAGTATGGCCTCACTTGGGTCCTCAAAGTCACATCAGGGGCCACCCAGCATCATAGCCTTAAGAAGCACATGACAACAACACTGATGTAGCAATTCTTTCCAATGTGCACAGCAATATGTCATCACAGAGGACCTTGTCCCATCACACACACTTTGAATAGCGGCCACCCTCTATGTGATATCACCTGCTCCTCAAGCACATTGCACCATTAAGACTGCAGCGACAACATATATCCTCCTCCTACCCTGACACTGACATCATCTCTGACCAAGGGCACAAGTGCAGCTTTTGCACTCAGCAATCTTATGCAATCCAAGCTGGCCAGCTGTCCTGAACCACAGGCAAAAAAGGCTGAGAGGTGACTCTTCTGGAACATGGAAATGTCAAATTGGAAACAGATACCCTCCCTCAGCTTCCTCCCAAACACAATCATGCACGATCCACATTGCCTGGTACTCCATCAGACTCTCTGTCTGTGCGTAAAAGGCACACCATCTGACAAAGACTGGCACAGGCGTTGCTGAATGTGCAAAGGTGAACATGCTGGC